CATTAGTTCAGAGTAGAACCATATATAGGGTGAGTCCGGAGTGTGAGAGGTCTTTGGTCAGTGGTTTGGAGGAGCTGTCTAGTGCTTGGATTAACGCCGCCAGGCTACCGAAGCATCACTGTAGCTGGGCAGTGGCTGCTAGCGTTTCAAGGCAGCAGTGAAGCCAATGCCTCATCTGCTGGGCCTGCCGACACCATATCTGTGTTGTGGGGTTAGGCGCTGCCATATCTGCTTCTCCGAGGCCGCAATTCTTCTTCTTCTTCAAGCTGGAGATTCCTCCTTCATCCTGACGCTGGTGCTGCTTATTCTGGGAGGTCTCTGGCCCATCACTGGAGCATTTGAGTGTTAGCTGGGTTGCACTAGTGCTGCTGAGACAGTAGGAGAGGAGCATTGGTGGTCTGCAAGAATTAGGGCTGGGCGCAGTGTTTTGGCCTGTGCGCCATAGACGGCTGTGTGGAGGATGGTGTTGGAGGGAGAAGGAAGACTCCAGAGGCTTGATGAAACTACATGCCGAGTTTGCTCAAGGTGGTTTACTCTCAGTTGAGATTCTTGGGTTCTTTGTGGATCTGATTGAGTTGGAGTTTGGGGAAACTAAAAATTGATGCTTTTCAATTCCTCCTACTTGTTGTGCATCCACTGTGCAATTTCCAATCTGGTGTGGTGAGAATTCCCTCTCCAAGTCTGTCATCGCGGCATAGTCACATCGCTTTGGGGAGTCGAGTAGAATAGTGGACGGTGCCCAGGGCTGCAACTTAGTCAGGAGAGAGTGTGAACAAGACATTTACACACGCACACACAGGGGGGGGGGGGGAGAGAGAGAGAGAGAGAGAGAGAGAGAGAGAGAGAGAGAGAGAGAGAGAGAGAAGAGTCCATACCTCAGTGTTGTGGTGTGCTACTCGTTGTGCATCCGCTGTGCAATTTCAAATCTAGTGTGGTGTGAATTCCCTCTCCAAGTCTGCTTTGTCATCGCAGCATGTGTATGGGAACACGTTGATGCTCTACTGGATTGCATTTCAATCAGTCACATCGCATCGGGAGTCGAGTAGAATAGTGGACGGTGCCCAGGGCCACAACTTAGTCTGGAGAGAGTGTGAACAAGACATTCATAGTGAGAGAGAGAGAGAGAGAGAGAGAGAGAGAGAGAGAGAGAGAGAGAGAGAGAGAGAGAGAGAGAGAGAGAGAGAGAGAGAGAGAGAGAGNAGAGAGAGAGAGAGAGAGAGAGAGAGAGAGAGAGAGAGAGAGAGAGAGAGAGAGAGAGAGAGAGAGAGAGAGAGAGAGACATGCCAATGTAGACAGAACGTGCGAGGTTTTACTTTCACAGCAAACTCGTCATGTCCATGGCATGCGACAACAGTCGCGATTACCCTTCTACCTCACTGCTCAGGTAATCATTTCAGCCACTATCCTAATATTTATACCCTTTGTTCCCAGTCCTTCTCTGCCATTCCTCTATCCCTGCAGAGTACTCATCATCTCTCCTCAGGATCTCCCGCAGTCGTTCCCTTGCTATCGTCGATTTTCATCTCGCCTGCAATCTGGAGCTATTTTCATCATATCTGAAGATTTTGTGCGTGTCTCTCCCGTCTACATCCTCTCTCCTCAGGAAATCCCGTACACATCCAATGATTCTATGCGTGTCTCTCCGTACATATCATCATATCCAATGATTCTGTGCGTGTCTCTCCCGTACTTTCCTCTCCGTCAGATTTTTGTTTTTACTGTGAATCTTTTATATAACTTCGCTTTGTTTTTTATACTGACTTGAATCTGGCTTTGTTTGTTGTTTTGTTCCTGTTAATTCGCATGACCGCGGATTTTCTTCATTTTCTAGGTGAGTCCTGCTGGTTCGTTTCTATTTCTTTCAGATCTTTGATCTTCTATGTGTTCCGTATACATTGGAAACGTGATCGACACTCTTACGTCGTTATATCTGCAGAAATGACCTGATAAGAAATGAACTGATACTCCGTCGGGTTTCTTTCCGAAAATCTTTAGTTCCCGAATATTTAATTTTATTCTATTCCGTGTGTAGTTATACTCTAGACTTTCGATTTTCGCTTTTTTGTTTTTGTTTTTATGTTTTCTGCAAGTCTTGTGAATTTCTTGCCGTACCGACTTTCCGTTTTTATATCTGTCGATATGGTGCTTCTYGTTCTTCCAGGTACTACTGGAATTTGTTTCGGACCTCCGCATCCCTGCAATTTCGAATGAAAGCATGGGTAATCCATGAGTCGGAGCTTCCGTCCGAACATTTTAATCACTGGCGGTAGATCTGCCATGTCGTATGTGTTCGCCACCATTCGATGAAACGTGCCGATAATCGTCAAGATTTTGGTTCTTTCAGAACCCGCGCTCCTGAAGTGACGCAACGTCCTTACAGAGAGAGAGCTTAATAACCCCTCCTGGAGTGTCGCCTCATTTTTCAGTCGATGTGTACACTTCAGGAGGGGTTCGTTGATTGATTTCGTCACCCTTGTTTCCAGATACGTCCATTCTGTGTTTGCATTGTCTAATGTGATTTCCAGTTTTAGAGATTGGTGGTCGCATGTTTGGAAAGATTCCAGACATTCCACCTCCCTCTTTTGATCCTCCTTCTTTGGTATTATGATCATCATGACATCATCCACAAAACGCATATCGTGGATACATTTCTCATCAATTCCAGTCTGTGAGCACCATCTGTACTCGTCAAACGCGCATACCATGTTGGCAATGGGTGGGCTAGAGCCCTTCCCCATCGGTATCCCCATTACTTGTCCTAGAAGTATTCCTTGTACTTTGAAGTATGCGTGTTTGATGTCATAGTACAATAGATCCGTAAGGCACTCAATCTTTAATGTTCTCCATCCGTAGGTCCCGTTCGCTTTTCCGAAGTTCATGTACTTTCCTCTCATCTTGTAGCACAAGTGGGTTTTTCGTTTTTCTTTCGCCATTTTCATCATCCATTGCATGGCGTTCAAGATATGTGTGTGATCGAGATTCGAAAACATATCCTTGACGTCATACGTGGAGCAGATTATCATAGCCATATCTCCGTATGTTTCTTTTGCTGTTTGATTGCATTTCTTTAGTCTAGGTGCTAGCTGGTTCGTTCCTTGTAGTGCAAAGCCAACTTTCAATGCTTCGCACATGAAGTTGATAGCCCTTGATAGTACCTTAGATGCTTTCCGAGATGGCTCCTTATATGTGGGCACAATTGGTCGGCGTCTAGTAACGTCTTTGTTCTTTGGAATTGTATACGCATCTCCGTATGATCCTTGTTCATCCCATTCCGCGAATTTCTTCAACCCTAATCCATGATACGTATTTTTGGCCAATTGAGTGATCTCAGATTCCGTTTGTTGTACAATTTCATAGTGACTCGATTCCAGAAAGAATTTTTGGGTCTTCTCGTACCATATTTTCGGACACTCCACAAAAGTTTCGCCAGGATTTCTATCCAACGACGATAAGATACACTGCGCCAATCTTCTTTTTACTTCCCATACTTCTGATATGTCAAGAAAGATTTCCATGTCATTCTTTTTTTCGATGCAAGTAGATACATCTACTTTAATTTCTCTTTTCTTCCTTAGTGGTCGTGGTACAATTGCAATCGTAGCTATGATTGTCCTTTTAATTTTTTCCTTTCCGATTCTTTCGTTCATATGGGGCACGTTTTTTGCATTCCATAATAGCTGATTGTCTGTAATTTCACTTAGTCTGCAGGCAATGTGGTTTTCCATCTTTGGAAGTCGGGATATTGCACAATTACAGTCCGGTGCTTGTGTAAGCACCTGTCTGTGATTGTGTAATATTTCCCCGACTGTCTTCGATTTCTTGAACATAACCCGCATCCGGGTTGTCAAATCATTCGCGAAGTTGTTGTTACTAACGTTATCCAGGATTGTTTCAGTTGCTGTATTTCTCACTTGTTTCAGATTAATGCATGCATCAAATGGAGTCTTAAATATCAGCCTTCTTTTGATATTGAATGTAAATTTCTTCTTTGAGATCCGTGTGAAGATGCCTTTAATTGTTCCTCTTTGTTTCTTTCCGGTAATCGATCCCACTTTTGACAGAAGAATCAGTATATCGTCCAGTGACAATTTATACAGTTCTTTCCGTGTCCATGGTGCCCTCAAGCAGTTAATCAGAATATTTCTGTGTTTGTTTGTTTTTGGTCCCGTATGTATCAGTTGAGTCACATAGAAGATACATCCATTTTCGATTGCTTTTCTGCATTCTTTTAGCTGGAACTTTTTGTTGTCAATTTCCACAATCGTTGATCCGAATGTTCGTTTAATTACTTTCCATTTTTCATTCCATAGCTTTCCTGCTTTGCAGTAGATCTTTGCTTTTGGTTGCAGAATTGATGTTAACTTCGTAGTGTAACCTGATCGGACCGATTTAAACAACACAGGTATATTCCAATTCACCACTTTGTTTTCGTTCTTCTTCCTCTTTCCCCTTCTTCATTTTTTGTTCCTCCGATTCTTTCTGCCTTTTCCCCTTGTATTCAAGAATGGATTTAGTCTCGTAATTAGTGTTGTTTCCATTCCAATTACTTCTGATTTCACTCCCATCCAAATGGGTATCAGAACATATTTCTCCCAACCTAATTTGTGCAGCCAACTATAAAGTTTCCGCTGTGCTCCTCTATTTGGATTCCTGGCCAAGTTTATGTGTTTTGTCCATCTCTTGTCGGACTGTCTTCCTGTCCTCCCTACGTACATATGCCTACACCACGGTGAAGCGAGAACGTACACACTATACGATGATGTCAATAACTTATCAAATGTGTCCGTCTGTGCAACCCAGAGATCAACTAGTTGGCTTGCCCATGGCATCTGTCCGTCTAATGCTAGTGAGATAAACAGAAGTCGGTACCTTCTATTGTATGTATGACACTCACTAATTTTCCCCGTACTAACTAGTTGCTCGATCTTCGTTGATAATCGGTGTATTTGCTCCCATTTCTGTGTCGTGGTGAGGCCGCTCGGTGCTGAGATGTCGTCTACCTTCCCAACAGATCTTCGGTGCCCGAAGATGTGCCGGATGAATCGTAGTCATCACTTCCGCTTGATCTTGTACTAAGGCTCTCGTACTCATCATCACTTGTGTCTCCGCCCGTTGTGTTGGATACTCGAATGTTGTCTGGATCTGGCATGATTTGCGTCTCCAAATCCGAATGCCGGTTGAAGTCCCTCCCCTTGTAGGCGATCAGTCCCGGAACTTGTCTCAATGCCGAGATCGCTTGCGGCTTGTCTTTGTACCTGGTGTCATGCATCTTGCACAATACCTTCAGATCTGTGTAATGAAGACGCAGGAGCTGCGTGTCTGTCATTGGTTCCACTCCGAAATTAATGCTCCTTTTCGCCTTCGACTTAGTTGCCGTCACGTTCCTAGCCATCCTCGTTCTTCCTCTCTTAGGGTGTGGAGGGATCACGCGTCCCAATCTGCTTCTGCTAGGTGCACTTCTGCTTGGCATACTTCGGCTCGGCACGCTTCGACTTCCATGTACAGATGTTGGTAGCCCCGCAGTCGTCTCCGTATATCCGTTAGGATGCACAGAGGACGACACGATTGGAGTGCAGGTGCGTGTTGGTTCATTGGTCTTCTGCAACGCGCCCTTCACCGCCGCCAGATCATATTTCAGTAGCTTCAGATTGTTGACCTCCTTTTGCACTTCCGACACCATCCTCTCTACTTTGTCCTCTGCTTCTATATTCTTCTGACTGGCTGCGCTTGGACCAGCTTGATTTTGTCCCCCTTGGTTCGTCTCTGCTGGCTTCAGTGCTTCATCAATGAAGGACTTGAGCGGATCCAGATTCAGTTCAGTCTTCTTCGCAATGTCTTCCTTGTTTGGTGGAGGTGGTTGATTTTCGCCTGTCTTGCGTGTGAGTTGCTCCAGTGTCTTGAGTACCTTGTCCATCTCCTGACGGAGCTTGAAGATTTCCTCTTTTAGATCTGCTGTAAACCACGCCCGATTTCCCGGCGGGGGGAAAGCATTCCGTCTCTGCTCCCATAATGGTCTCGAGAATCTCCTAGGAGATTCTGACTCAGCCCTTCTTCTCCATGATGATGGTGATCTTGACTTATGTCTTCTATCTCTCGGAGTTCTCGATCTCCGCCTTCGTGAGCGGTTCCTCCCCTTCGATCCGGAGGATGATGATGAGTGCCTGCGCCGCCTCCTGTCCGACGATGAACACGAATGCGCCATCTTCCTTGAAGCTTGGGAATGTCAGGTAGGTCTTCCTCGAACCAGAAATAAGTACAATAGGCGAAAAGTACAACCGAATCTCCAAAAGTCGCAACGAATCTCCACGCTAACGTAATCTCCAATAAATCGCCACAATGGAATCAAGAATGAAAGGAATAGGATAAGAATACGGAGAAAGATATAGACGATGAAAGTACACAGGAAATAAATGGACGTAAAAAGCAAAAGGTCTATCCAGTGCTGATCATCGCGGGTACCGCCCGCAAGTTCAAAGCACCGTGCATAGAGATACACACATGCAAATGTAGACAGAACGTGCGAGGTTTTACTTTCACAGTGAACACGTAATGTCCATGGCATGCGACAGCAGTCGCGATTACCCTTCTACCTCACTGCTCAGGTAATCATTTCAGCCACTATCCTAATATTTATACCCTTTGTTCCCAGTCCTTCTCCGCCACTTTCCTCTATCCCTGCAGAGTACTCATCATCTCTCCTCAGGATCTCCCGCAGTCGTTCCCTTGCTGTCGTCAATTTTCATCTCGCCTTCAATCCGGAGCTATTTTCATCATATTCGAAGATTTTGTGCGTGTCTCTCCCGTCTACATCCTCTCTCCTCAGGAAATCCCGTACACATCCAATGATTCTGTGCGTGTCTCTCCGTACATATCATCATATCCAATGATTTTGTGCGTGTCTCTCCCGTACTTTCCTCTCCGTCAGATTTTTGTTTTTACTGTGAATCTTTTATATAACTACGCTTTGTTTTTCATAGTGACTTGAATCTGGCTTTGTTTGTTGTTTTGTTCTTGTTAATTCGCATGACCGCGGATTTTCTTCATTTTCTAGGTGAGTCCTGCTGGTTCGTTTCCATTTCTTTCAGATCTTTGATCTTCTATGTGTTCCGTATGCATTGGAAATGTGATCGACACTCTTACGTCGTTATATCTGCAGAAATGACCTGATAAGAAATGAACTGATACTCCGTCGCGTTTCTTTCCGAAAATCTTTAGTTCCCGAATATTTAATTTTATTCTATTCCGTGTGTAGTTATACTCTAGACTTTCGATTTTCGCTTTTTTGTTT